GCCATGCTAGGTGCAGGGGCCTGAACTCAGTGTTCCACCTGACTTCATTTACTTTGTATTATCTGTAATGCAGCACAGATTACAGCTTTGCAACCAAACCCAGGAATTAGAGCTATCAAAAGCATCCCTGTTGAATTGTGGTAAATGCCAGTTGGGAAGGAAAAGTCTAGTTGAGGAGATGACTTTGGGAACCTGCCTTTCTCAGGCCTTTGTGCTGCTGTAGGAATTGGACTTCATGGCATGACGGAGATGCGCACACAAAACCTAGGTTTCTGTTTCTGCCTGAGCATAGGGAAAAGAAACATCTCCCATGATGATGAAAGCACAGCCGAAGTTTTCTACACATCACTGACCTACAGGTGTGCTGTCCTCAGGCTGAGCCTGGCAACACTGGGTGAGGTCAGACCCATTTGGAAGCTAATAGTTCTCCACAGGGAAAGTTAGTTCTTAAAGAAGGAACTGGAATGGACAGGTAAACACGATGGATGACAGTTACTCTTTTAAAAGATTTGTCCTGGGGATATGGTGCCGCAAGCAGGTCAATCTGTACCTGTGAGGCAAGTACATCAGCAGCCTCATGGCGCCTTCAGGCTTCCAGATACCCCAAAATTGCTGCTGTGCCTTTGGCCAGACCGCAAAAACTTGGGGCAAAGTTTACCAAGAAAGTAAACAGCCAAAAGTTAGGTATGTGGGAGACACACCCACAAACCACCTCTGGCTCAGCTATATAATTGGAGGCATGGCCTCTCTGGTTCCTGATCAAACTGCTTAATGGCCATGATCCCAGAGACCCAGAAACAAATGTTGAAACCCAATGGCTTTTGGCAGAAATGTGAGTCCGGCAGTAGGTTACCGGCGCCAGGCCACCCAAAGTGGGAATAGGTTTTGTGCCTTGGCCTGTTCCCTCTGGTGGCCCAGTGGTTGCCATCTTCTAGAGGCCATTGGACAGTCAGGTTTGGGCCCTCAGTGACGAGACACGCGGGGCCTCATGGGATGGGGGTGGAGCCGACCCTTTCCTCCCCATCCCAACGAGACCCCGAGTGGCTGCCCACTAATGGCTTCTCTGGCTCCTGATCAAGCTGCTTAATGGCCATGATCCCAGAGACTCAGAAATAAATCTCGAAACCCAGCGGCTTTTCGCAGAAATGCATCCAGACCGCGCGGTAGGTTACTGTTGCCGGGCCATCCCAGGGGAGAAAGGGTAATGTCCTTTCTCCTGCTCCCCCTTGGCGGCTCGGTGGCTACCATCCTCCAGAGGTCATGGGACAGTCAGGTTTGGGCCCTCAGTGATGAGACACATGGGGCCTCATGGGATGGGGGTGGAGCCGGCCCTTTCCTCCCCATCCCAACGAGACCCCAAGTGACTGCCCACAAATGGCCTCTCTGGCTCCTGATCAAACCGCTTAACGGCCATGATCCCAGAGACTCAGGAACAAATCTTGGAACCCAGCAGGTTTTGGCAAGAAATTCCTCCAGATTTAATGGTTAAGATTTCGGAATTTCAAAATCGCGTGGCCACTACTGCAGCCACGTGACATCATATGTTATTCATAACCAGCAATAGAAAACAAATTGTCTACTGTTGCCTTTTCAGCCGATCTGAGTGTTAGGGTAAAATCCCAAGTAATAATGGTGGGTCTGGTGTCAACATATTGAATGTAATCAAAGTAGAGAGAAATTTAGAAATCATCTGCCCCACAAGTAGGGGGAGGGTGTGGTGGAGAATGGGCACTGGTGAAGGTACAGGTGTTTCATTGTATGACCGAGACTTAAACCCAAAAGCTTTGTAACTGCTCTCATGGTGATTCAATAAATAAAATTATAAAAAATGGAAAAAAATAAGGTGGAGTTCATGCACAATTCAATCAGCCTAATCAGTGGCTGAATAAATATAAGTACTCCTACATAAAAAAAATAAAAGATTTGTCTCAAAACTTTGGGACATAAGTGGGAGTTCACCCTTGTCTTAGAGAAACAAGCATACACAGTGCCTGTGAAATTACCACTGCAGAGTAAAGGCACAGACCAAAAATGAGAAGCAGGAGGGAATGAAAACAGGCACAGCAAATTTCTACCTCCCCTCAAACCCTTGGCATTCAGGACACTAAAGTTCCGGTTCTTTATGGCTCCGGTTCTTTCCGGTTCTTTATGGTTCTTATGGTTCTTTACGGTCTGACTTGTCCAATGAGGTCACTCCTGGGGTAACTGCTGTGGTATGTGGACCTCAAGGGTACATTACAGCAGAAAATCTGCTTGCTTTTTTTGGGTGTGTGTGTTTTACTTCATAGTTTTACCTGCTTCATAGTATTCTCTAAAGCTTGTAAGTCCTGTCTAAAATGTTTCTTTCTCAAAGTCATATTCACATCACAGTCTGTGTGTTCCTTCTTGAGCACCAGGTTTGCTCCTCAAGCATCTAGCTGGATTCTGTGATATGGACCCTCATATAGTTCAGGGTAAATTCTAGTGTACGCAGATAGGAATCTGACTGCTTGCATTATTTAGGTAGATTTCAGGGCTTATATTCAGTTCTATTTGGATTCATTATTCCAACTCAGATTCTCAAGTCCCTGATGAAAAACAGAAAAATATTGGAATTTTCCAGGAAACCTGTCAGAGGTACTTCTAAGATGGTAGCAATTGAAATTCTGTATTCATTTAGTTTCGTAAAGCCAGGTACTTTTAGTTGCTTTTTCATTTTACCATAAGCAGGTTGGTGCTCACACTTCACTAGAATCAGCCCTTTTGTTGGAGATTCGTTTGTTTGGGGGCCACATGCGGTGGTGCTGAGGACTTACTCCTGACTGTGCTCAGGGATCACTCAGAGAGGCTTAAGGACCACATGGGGTGTTGGGGACCAAATCCGGGTTGGCTACATGCTAGTCAGACACCCCACCCATTGTACTATCTCTCCATGCCCTGAAGATTTTCTTCATGACCAGTTTTAACATTCATGGTTTTGATGTACAGTTGTTGCACCTCCCACTAAGACCTCACCTACCACTGTCCTTAATGTCTTTTTGAATCCACCTCTTTATTCCCTGCACCTTACTTGATCATCTGTTTTGCTTGTTTGGTTGGTTGGTTTTAGTACCAGGCCACACCTGGAGTACTCAGGGACCATATGTGATGCCAGGAATCCAACCAGGTCTCAGCTGTAGCCCCATAATAGGCAAGTGCCTTAATTTGTACTCTCTCACCAGCCAGGTGATCTCAGTTCTATAGTTAGTTGAAGAACTTTTTAACCAGGCTTTTAGGAAAATTCTTTAAGAGGTTAAATTTATCATTTTAGGGACCTGAGTGATAGGACAGCAGATGCTTGCCTTGGTTGCTGCTGACCAGGGTTCCATCCTCAGCATTCCATATGGTCCCAAAACCTGCCAGGAGTGATCCCCGAGCACCTCTGGGTGTGGATCAAAACCAAAAATTGTATCACATTAGGTTAGCAATGTTTTCTGTTTGAATCATTTTAATTGATTGACAAAGGGAATATGACAAATCTGGCTTGAATTAATTCTCAAATTGGTATCAGGAAAAGCTGATTTGTGAAGCTGGAGTGGGGAGGGCAATTGACTTGCATACAGCTGGCTGGGGTTCAACCTCGAGCTCCCCATATGATCCCGAGTGTAGAGACAGCTGAGACTGAAGCACTGCTAATTGTGTTTCCACTGAGTAGATTGTCACTGAAAAATGTGAATACGACACTCGATAAGTTACTTCCAAAACACAGGTCAAGATTTTCTTATACATGGGAAAGAAAGGGATTTGGTTTCACTGGGACAATAAAAAGTGTCTTTGCTTTTGTTTTTTCTTTAAGGATACAGAACAAACAGCATTGTACAAAATAACAAATTTTATTTTTATAAAATATTTTACACTAACTGTACACATGCACACACCCACACAGTAATTAAGCAATTTCCTCATAATCAATCTACGACATACTAATATACAATTTACAGTCATTTTTGAAGACACATGGGGAAAAGCTTTTTCATTCATTTACAAACCTTCCATAAATTACAAAAGAAAGGCAGTCTGAAAAGTATGTATAAAGAGTAAAAACAATTTACAAGCAAACAAGAATTACAAAATAGTAACGTCAAATACATCTGCCAGCAACTTTGTCAATCTTCAAGTGAGTGCCAATGATGGAGAGTGGTATGAGATATTTTGGAAAAGACTTGAATTTGGGAGGTGGCTTATGCATCATGTGAGTTACTTTGTGTGCTGCTCATTGTTGAATACTATGCATGGCATCTTGACAAATAATGAAAGTAACAAATCCATATGCCACAAAATGTAACACTAAAAGCAAATGAGTATGACCAGATGGCAGCCGGCTAGTGGGTAGAGGACTTTTCCAAAAAATTACTTTCTCTCCTCTCTCTTTTGAATGACTTTAGTAAGTAAACATTTTCCTGTGTGTTGTCTGGCTTGCATTGAAAGACAAAAAGCCAATGTCTAAAGATGCACAGCCTGTAAAAGTGGATTTCAGACCACTGTGTGTGAGTGAGGATGAAGGGCACTGAATGCACAACACAGACAATGTACACACCGTGGGTTTTATTAGACAGTACACACCATTGTGCATTTTTATAAGGCAGAACATCAAGGCGGATAAAACTAGTAGTTTCAAGACCAGAGTCAAAGTGAGCGTTATGCATCATGAGGCAAGCATTTTGAAAAGGGAGCAAAGCTGAAATCATTCCTTTTAAGGGCAGATGACGAATGCACAGAGACTGGGGTCACAGGGAGGGCGGGAGCTGCGGGGGCTACAGAAGACCCCCGCCTCGCCTCACCTCCGGCAGAGCTCGGACGCCTGGAGCAAATGCGCTCTGTCCTGGCGTGGTCGGCACGTCCCGCCCGCCCGGTGTCAGGGAAGGTGTGTCTGGGAAGCGCTTGAGTCATGAAAGCCCTAGCGAGGGTTACTGGGCGGCTGTCCGGGAGCGCTCGGTCATCTCACGGCACCCAGCCTTTTCAGCAGGTTCTTGCCTCTGGTAAGCAGCCCCTTTTTCTTTCTCGAGGACATTTCCCTGCCTCGCCCGGGACTACCAGTACCCAAAGATGACGTAGGTGACCCCGAATGGAGATGGACTGTGGGGGATGGCGCGCTCCTTGCTGTCCCTGAACCCTCAGGAGGAACCTAGTAGGCACATGGTGACAGTGTGAGAGCGCGACACCAGTGGCGCCCACCGACTCGGCCGCCCCCTGCTGCCCACCCCCCTCCAGGGAGGCCAAGGGCTTGTTTCTTCTTTCAAGCGTCGACGTATGCCATGAGCACACACCCCTCTCCCACCATGTCAGAGAGGGGCTCGCCATCCACACCAGGGCCCCACTTGGCTGCAGGGGAAGGGCAGGGTAGGGGCTTGCTGCTTTGACAAAGCAGAGCTAGGGGACAATTTGTCAGTTCAGGCCAGGAACTTGGAAAAGGATTCAATTAGGTTGACAGTGGAATTGGCCGAGTGCCCATCAGTAACCGTCAAAAGTTCTGGAAGGGAATTCTGTTGTACTTGAAAACTATGTGGGTATAGAAAAGCCTGATAGTGCATTCGTGGGTTAGTATTCTAAAGAAACACTGCAGATGGCACACTGGTTGAAAGAAAAAAAACTAAAATGAACCTTAATTACAATCAAAGAAAGCTTAAAGGCCCTTCTGGTTTGCTTTCCTTGCTCCCGGTCACGTTTCTGAGGGGGGCTGAGTCAGCAGTGCTGCTGGACGGCCAAAGGCCACACGCCTGAGGACAGCACGTGTCCTCTCCCCCTTCCCTCTTCCTAATGCGAGTGTTCATCACTCAGCAGGCAAGTGACTAAGCCAAGGGGCTTCAAGCTTGCTTGGATTTAAAATCAAGGTCTCATTCTCATGGAAAACCCCTAGCAAAGCATCCCAAAGGACACCTGAAGATACCATCGCTCCGTCTAAGCAATCATGAGCTGCGTCTCGTAAGACCTGGCATTGCATTGGTACGCCAACAGGCCTGTCTCCCCGAATGCCTGCAGGCACAGAACACACATTTGTGCTTTGAGGAGAAGCATAAGCTCCTGAGACAGTTTGGGGTCGTGAGAAAAGTTCACTTGGTATTGAGGCCAGCATGTGAGGGGTCAGAGACGGCCCCATCACCCACTCTCACTACTCAGCTCTGGGTCTTGAGTTCTGGTTTTGCAAGCAGAATTGCTACAGTAAACATCTGGTAGGTTGTGCTTTGCCCAGGAGTGGCTAACAATGCAATACGCAGCTCCCATTACGAGTGGACATCAGAACACTCTCTGAACGAACAGCCTGCTAAGAAATATGTTCCCAATGACGGCCTTTCAAATAGTCTCAATGTGAATAGGAAGAGATTGTTAAACACTATTTGGCTACAATTCAGTTGCTTTACAACTGAGGTCAAGTAAAATCTAATAATTTAGATCCAGTGATAGTTTTGAGACATATTTCTTTTTCGCCCCACAGTGACCCTCAAGTCTACCACATTAGTCCATCTAAGGCAGCTTAGGCCGGTATCTTTACAGGTATCTTCAGTTGCTCACTTACGTGGAGGCTACATTGCCTGATTAAGGTGTGAAATGAACACTCTTCTTCTGTTTCCAAGCAGATGAGCAAAGAAATAAAAATATATATATAAAAATAGAATATATAAAAACTTGTTGTGATGAAATAAAAATAAAAAATGAGACACTACACATGAATGTGATCTAATAGTTAAATATGTCGGGGAGGTCTTTGATCTGCTCTTTTTAAAAAAAAAACAACAAACTAAAACCCTAAGCGAGCAGATGGCTCTGCTGCTCGCCGCGGCTGCCGACTCGCTACCTCTTTCCACTCGTAACCGAACTGGCATGTGTGTCTCGAATGTAGGATAGGAGGTTCCTTGGTGAATAAAGCGGACTGGTTAGAAGTGAAAGGGTCATTGGAGTGAAATAAACTTGGATTTAGAATTGAGGACTTTGAGGCACACGCCATGGAAGGGCAGAGAGAAACTCGGTGCGTGTTTTCCTTCGGGACCCAGATGTGGACCTGCCGGGGCTACTTGGACCGTGGGGCCGAGCGGGGCTGAGCGGGACCAGGAGAAAAGTTAACGGAAGTGTCACTTACCCTTTTGGCCTTTGGTCGCAAGGGCGTGTCCTGTGAGTAGTGGGATGGCGCGTCCGAAAGATAGACCTCCACATCATCAGGCACCTCTTCAAGGAAGTTGGAAGGTACAAGGCCTTTCTGCCCATTAAGCTCCCCCTGCAAGCACACCACAGGCAGACCATTGGCTCCTTCCACGCGCACCTGCATACAGACCGCCCTGAGTGAGCCCACTGGGGAGAGGGAGCAGTTTTGCTGAGTAACTGCTGCTCTGTTAAGTTTTCTAAATGTGGGTTGGTTTTTAGTCGTCTCAATAAAAAGTAAACTAAGCAAATAAGAACTTTAGATTTTTAGGCCAATTCTAATCAGCTTCACAAAATGGTTCTGAAAGCAAAATCCACAACCAGAGAGAGATAAGAAAGACACGTGTCAATGTCGTTCCTGGAATCAAGATTCATCCTCCGAATAAAATGTCAGTAAATCAAGACAATTGTTCTAAAGAAGATTCTAAGTTTCCACTGTCCACCAAGACAAACAGCTGCCACAAAGTCAGCCTGGCTAACTGAGATGGGGTGCCACAGTGCCGGGGCCTTGCTAGAGCCCTTCAGGGACCACCTTTTGTGGCTCAGAATCCCCCAAACAACACCATGGGACAGTAGAGAGATGACTGTGATGAATACTGTAGAGAGACCCAGGATCAAGGTCTGAGGGAACCAGCCAATACATTGAAAAAATCTTTGTGGAAGTACTACAGACACAACCTGCATGTGCATCTATTTAAATACAATACACATTCACAAAATACAATTTTCTAATCAGTAGAGTATGTATGAGAAAAAATTTATGATAGCCAGACATTAAGAATGAACTTTGTGATCTCAAAGACAAGGCACATTATAGCAGTAAATTATGAAGAGGTAATTCAAAAGAGATTTGGGAGGAATGAGGAAAATTCAAGATATTTGACACAGCAAGAGGAAAACCTCCAAATAAGAAGTCCTGACAGGGAAAGAAAAAGAGAGTGGGAGGGCAGAGGGCAGATGCTAAGAAGCTGCCCAGTCTGAGGAGGGAGATAAGAGACTGATCCAGGAGGCCCGAAGATGCCGAACAAAACAAACACTGGCAGGACAGGCTGGAACCAAGACTGCAAGAATATTTCTTCCCCTCTTCGAGCAAAAGAGCTGAATGACAAGAACCTGCATTCAAGGGTCAGTGATCACCCAGTCTCAGGAAAACTGCCAATGACGGCATCATTGCATGTTGCATCTGACCCAGCTCTGCAAGAAACAGAGTGCCCTACTAGAAAAGTTCAAGTGGCAATAGCAAAAATGACCGAAGTCCATATAGAAAACTGACAAGTTTCTATCAGTTGTTTCTCTGAGCATCACACTCCTATGGAAGGCAGAGAGTCTGCTCAGGAGCAAACTCCAAGTCTCTGTGCTCACTAGAGGTGCCTGTTCTCTGGCAGCAAGCACAGCTCTGGAGCGGAAGGCTGGGAAGGACGGAAAAGCTAGGGTGGCATACTTGTGTGAAGACCAAAGAACATCAGAGCTAATAAAGCTACAGACAGGGATGGACGTCCCATACCGGCTAAGGGGTCAGTGAGTGGCCAGGAGGACTCACCTGTCACCAACAGTACACATCCACTCAACTCTTTCGGGGGCTGGGGGGAGGGGGCTCTCCCGGTGGTGCCCAGGGCTTCCTACTGGCTCTGCACTCTTGGTGGGCTCAGGGGACCATATGAGGTACCGGGGATGGAACCTGGAAGGCACGGGACAGACTGGGAGAGCGAGGCCAAGGACTCACGTAGTAGAAGCCATCCTCATCGATCTCCCCGAACACAGTGATGATGTCCCCAGTGCAGAACGTCAGCTCGGCCTGCAGGGAGAGCACAGGGGCTGGGCCATACTGGGGCCATTCCGTGCGCCAAGTTCCTCCTGCCTTTCTGCCTTTCCCCATCTCTTCCCTTCTCTCAGCTGGATCTGAACCCACTCTCAGTCGGGTGAGTCTGTGCGGGCGGGCGCCTCCTGCTAGGGGGCTCTGCTGTGGGGCTGCTGCAGGGGCTCGGCTCGGAAAGACCTGAGGGAGCAGGGCAATGGGGGACAGGACGGGGAGCAGCTCCTGAGCTGTGGGGGCACAAGTCTCCCGATCTGGGGGGTCCTGGCCTCCCAGACTGCCTGCATCTCTGGAGGCTCCACCTTTGGCTCCTCAGTGGGGTGCAGGTAGCAGCCACTGCATGTGAGCAGCCAATGGGGTCCCTATCTCTCACCCAGGGTCCCCATCGTCCCCCCAGCTCAGCATACACAGGTACCTCCACGTCCACGTTGGGTGAGCTTTCCCGGGGGTCATAGTCGTACAAGGCCACCATCCTCCGCGTGGAGACCGAGGGCCTCCGGCCGCCTCTGCTTCTCTCTTTGGATCACAGGGAGCAGATGGGGGCGCTTTAGAGGGGGTGGGCCCCCTCGCCTCCATGCCAGCACCTCAGCCCCAAGGCTGGATTCACTCTGCATGGGAGGGGCCTGCAGCTGTGCCCCCACCCCCACCCAGTGTCATCCTGTGGGTCCCCTCACCCGGCTTGCCCACGGGCGTGCTGAGTGGCAGGAAGCCCTGTCGGAGCAGCTGGGCCATCATCTCCTCATCGTCGGCCTGGATCTCCGACACCATGTTGCAGGGAATGAGGCCGAGGCGCGCACAGGTCTCCCCGCGGTAGAAGCCATCAGCATCTTTGTCACCGTAGACCTGGCCCACAGACACAGAATGGATGCTGGCAGGTGCGTCCCTGCTCACAGCGTTCCCTACCTGTGGCTTCACAGGCTGCTCTCCATACAGCCCCCAGTCTCGGCCTCCCCAAGTGCTTCCCAGGATCAAAGTCCAACCACTTCCCAGCTGCCCTCAGAGCTTATGGGAAACATCACCCTTAAGACTCCTCCATTTCAAGCGGGGTCTCACAGGATGGGGGTGGGGTGGCCCTTCCCCCAACCCCACCCCTGCCCGAATGAGACCCCGAGTCGCTGCCCACGAACAGCCTTTCTGGCTCCTGATCGAGTTGCTGAACAGCCATGATCCCAGAGACTCAGAAACAAGTCTCGGAATCCAGTGGCTTTTGGCAGAAATCCCTCCAGATTTAATTATTAAAATTACAGAATTCCAAAATCGCGTGGCCATGGCTATTCATAATCAGCAATAGAAAACAAAGTGTCAAAGTACAGAAAGAGTAATGTGGACATCATCTGCCACACAGGTAGGGGGAGGATGTGAGATGGGGGTATACTGGGATTGGTGGTGATTTGGAAATGGGCACTGGTAAAGGGGTGGGTGTTTCATTATTGTATGACCGCGTCTTAAACTTGAAAGCTTTGTTAACTGCTCTCACGGTGATTCAATAAATAAATTTAGAAAAATAACTTGAAGAATCATAAAAAAAAAAAGACTCCTCCACTGACAGCCCCCGAAGTGCTCTTTCAAATAGGCTGGAGCAATAGCACAGCGGGTAGGGCATTTGCCTTGCACGCGGCCAACCCGGGTTCGATTCCCAGCATCCCACAGGCCTGGTGAGATCAAGCCTGAACCCAGACAAGCCCCTCCCCCTCCCACCCCTTCTCTCTGTCACTGCCACAGCCATGGCACCTCTCAGAGCCTTCTATACACTAAAGCAAGTGTATTTGGTCACATGTGGGCTCCATGAATCATGTGAACTCTGTGATCTGCACGTGATGTGCATGAGTTGGGTGTACATGAGCTATGTGAGTCATATAAGGTATGTGTATATATATATATGTGTAGGTGTATGGGGTGAATTGTATGTGTATGTGTGTGTATTGTGTGAATACATGTATGTATGGGGTGTGCAAGTATATCTGGTGTGTAGGGGTAAGTGCATGCGTATATACATGCATGTGGGGGTGTATATATGTGCACGTGTGTATCTGTGTGCATGTGTGCCATCCTGCAGGCAGGCAATGTGCAAGGGAACCCTACTTTCCTGAGAGGCCTAAAGGGTCTCTGAAGGTGCCTATCACCCCAAATCCACTTTCACTGAGTGCCAACCAGCTGCGCCCTCTTCCCTGGGAGTAGTAGCCAGCAGCTCCAGGAGCCCCTCAGAGTTCTGATAGTCCCCCCATCAGCCCTCAGGACCCCTTACGGGCCCATGGCCCACCTTGATAATCTGCCCCTCCTTGAAGGGAAGCTCCTCCTCCGCAGCGTCCGGGTTCGGGGACATGGTGAGGGGGTCGTAGTCGAACAGAGCCACGAAGACACGCGCAGGGAGCTCCTCGGCCCCGGGGTCAGTCTCCGACCCCTCATAGAAGTCTGGGGAGAGCAGGTCCCGCCCACTGGAGTCATCTGGAAGGACCAGGAGCAGGTGGTCAGGCCACGCCCCCACCCCATCCTGAGTCTGCTAACATGCAGAGAGACACATCCCATCGGGCTGGCTGAGAGTGAGATGCAGGGACCCTGGTGAGGAGCCCAGCGCTGCTGAGCTCCTTAGGGGTGGCCAGCGCCCCTACCCGGACCATGGGCACCGCACAAGGAAAAGCCTCCGCCCCAGTTCTAACCGGGAAAGAAAGTGACCCCACGAGAGAGAGCATTTCTGACACAGGGGGGTGGGACGAGGTGCCACTAGGGTCACTGACCGATGGCCGGCCCCTTCCCTGGTCGTGCCCGCTGGGGGCCTGCACTGCCGCGGGGAAGCGTCCGGCCCCCATGTTCTGCTCTGTCGGCCCGTCCCGCAGCCATCGGGGTCCCGAGGATCTGGAGAGGAACAGCACAGGTGTGAGCTGAGCGGGCTCCGAAGGCCATGCCAGCTGGACCGAAGCAGAAGCTCTAAAGGCAACTAAACTTAGGTTTTAACTGAAAGGTTAGCTGATGGGCCTGGCCTCAGGAACTGTCTCTGCCGCTGCTGCTGTCACAGGAAGCCGCAGTTTGGAACCAGAATGCAGACAGCCACAGGCCGTGGGCAGGACAAACCTGCCCCTCAGCGCAGGAACGCCTGCACGCTTGGAGACACACATCCCCAAAGTGGCAGGAGCCCAGGGCATGGCCTCCCCCCTCAGCCTCTCCTCTAGCATGTGTGAGAACCAGAGCCGGCCCCCCGCTCAAGGGCAAGGTGTTCAGGGGAAGAAACACTGCGGGTTTCCCTCAAAGGCACTGCTACATGTGGGACAGGTGTGAGCCCAGACCGCGGTCAGCACTGCGGGCCAGCCCAGGTGCCCACATCACCAGCCCCATCTCACCAACAACATGGTGGGTGCCCTGTGGGAGCCTCCTGGGACCCCAACACTGCCCGGAGACGGGTGGGACCTACACTTGCGTCTGGAATCCCCTGCACACACACACCCCCAGAGATAGGTGAGAGGTGTGTCTAGAGCTGATGATGGAAACTCCTAGCAGTGGACACAGGAGAGAGACGGGGTGAGGGAGGGCCGGGAAAGCTGGTCTCTTCTGCAACTGCTCTCTGCGCATTCCCAGGCAGTGACAAAGCCCCCGAAAGGCACCGCCACAAAGGCCAGATCCAAGAGAACCCCTCCCCACCCGCCGGCAAGAAGTCGAGACAGGCCCTAAAACTCATTTTGAAAAGAAACTGTGTGTTGCCAAACATCTGAGGAAGCACAGCTCAGCTAACCCTTAATTAAAAGTTAGATTCAGTTGTCCTTTAATCAAAGCAGCCGTGATCGGCCTGGTTCGGGCTCATTCTCCTAAAGCCAAGGAAGGGAGCAACGGGTTTTGTCAGACAGGCAGGACGAAGGAGGAGCGAAGGCCCCGGGTGCAGAGGAGGGGGATGGCGATGGGGGGCGTGGCAAGCAGATGGGGTGATGGACACACCCAGGGACCTCCTGCAGCCCGGGCGGGCAGCTGCGCGGGGTCCCGGGGGGCGGACGGCGCCGGGCCACTCCTCCAGGCCGCCGGACACTCCTGCCCCGGGAGCTGCTCCCAGCAGGCCTTCCCGGACCTCTCGGGGCTCGGCGGGGGCTCATCGCTCCAGATGCCATCACGGGGGTCCACAAGCTCCCCAAAGTCCCCCTCCACACTGTTCTGCCGGGTCAGTGTGCGCCGCCGGGCCAGCAGGGGCCTGAGGCAGTGCCGGCAGGGGCAGGGCCCGGGCTGCCATGGGCCAGCAGGGGCTGGGGACGCTGCCCGCAGGGCCTGGGGCTGCCTCCTGACACGGACCCGAGGCTCCTCCTCTTCACTCCCGCAGTCCAAGCCACTGTCTGGGCTCCGGGTGGCCAAGCGGCTGCAGCGGCCACCCCAGTCCTCCAGCGGGCAGTCCTCGGCGTGGGGCCCGGGGGCGCGGGGCCTGGCCAGGGGCCTGGCACCCCGGGCAGCTGCACCCCCCCAGCAGGGCCTGGACCGAGTGCCAGCACCCCGTGGGCGCCAGGCCTCCCGCTGTTCCACGTCCTCCTCGGCCACCTCGGGGATGCTCGACAGCATGGCACAGTGCTGGGCCTGTGGGGGGCACTCGGGCTGGTCCAGGGGAGTGCCGTCCTGGGGGCATGTGTGCGGACAGGGGCCAGGAGCAGTGAGCGGGCGGGGAGGAGAGAAAGCAGAGAGTTAGTCTCCGAGGCGCCTGCCTATCTGGGCCTGGCCTGCCGTGGTTCTACAGAGGAATTAGATGCGGTTATGAGGTCCCAGGGAGGGAGTGCCAAGAGTCCGCGATGCAGCCTGAGTGTGGCGAGCACTTCCACATTTCGGGCTCTGGGCCCCACTGCCTGCTGCCTGCATACCCGGGGCGGGCGGCTGCTACCCTGTCTGCAGCCCTCAGAGCTTCCCTCCTCCCGGACCTGCCCACCCGAGGCGGCCCTGGGCACAGCAAGGCTGTGGGCAGACACTTGGCTCCATGGGAGCTGCTGTGTGGATAGAGCCCAGCACACCCTCCCCATCTCTGGGGGCCACCTGTGTCACCTCCAGGCCAGTTCATCTATAGGGCCACTCCCTAAGCACACCCGCTCCTGGACTCGTAGGTGCTATCAGGGCTGGCCTGGGGGTGTCTCCAGACTTAGTCTTGCCCACCCTGCCCTGTGGGGCACAGCCCTGCGCTCAGACCTGGCTGTGTTGCCCACTGCTGCCACCATCTCTGATCAGAAAGGTACTGGGGAGCAAGGGGAGCAAGAGGAGCAGAGAAAGGACTCTCGGAGGAAGCCAGACAGGGGTTTGAAGCACCCTGGCCAACCCTGTGGAGCTCGGGGGCTGCTCAGCGCAGCTCCGCAAGGCCAGAAGCCATCAGGAACTGGAGGGGCAGAAACGGTGGCCTGGCAGTCTCCGTTGGCCCCATGGGACCACGTGAAAGCACGGCCTGCTCTGCCCACCGGGACACATGCTGTGAGGCTGTCCAGGCCTCCTGCCCATTCGAGGTACCCACGAGCCCCCTCCAAGGACAAGCCCTATGCAAAGCCAGGTCTGGGGCTCCTGGCCAGCTGTGCCATATCCAGGCCACACCAGGAAGGACTCTGATGGTCCCAGAGCCTTAAGCGTGCTTCCCCAGAGGGTGACAGGCCATGTGGGTGCGGTTCTACACCGGAACTGGCCCCACAGGCCCTCAGCCCTGCATCCCCATGGCCTGCACAAAGGCCCTCAGCCCTGCATGCTGTGTCCCCGTGGTCTGCACACAGACCCTCAGCCCTGCGTATTGTATCCCCATGGCCTGCACACAGGCCCTCAGCCTTGCACAATGTGTCCCCATGGCCTGCACACAAGCCCTCAGCCCTGTGCCCTCGTGGCCTGCACACAAGCTCTCAGCCCTGAGCACTGTGTCCCCATGGCCTGCCCACTTGGGCCGTCACTTGGGCCTTCAGCCCTGTCCCGTGACCCTGTGGCCCACACAGGTGCTCCCTCGCCATGGTCTGTCTTCCTGGGATTCAGCCTGGCCTCATCAGTCCCTCCCAGTGCAAAGCCAGCCCGGGGTCCCCCAGCGTCCAGCTCATCACTTGGCCACAGCACCGGCCAGCAGAGCTGAGGCAGCAAGGCCCCAGAAACACCAGGACTGTAGCACAGGGGCATGGAGGTAGCCCAGCAGCAAGCGGTGCCCCGCACTCTCCCCGAGGGAGCTTTGCTGCTCCTCCTTCCCAGCCTGCTACAGAGCCCGGCACTCGTCCATCTCTCAGCACCCCACTCTGGCAGAGTCTGTTCCAAGAACTCCTGGACGCCCTTGAGAACTGAACCCGAGTCTGTGGGTGCCGACTGCAGACACGACGCCCGGAGAGCCAGGACCACCCAGTCCAGGCGGACGGGAGGGCGCGCCTGGGGTTACGGGGGCACTGACCTTGAGGGCGCTGTGGGAGGTGCCGCTGGGCCGCCGCCGGCCGCCCTCCTCCAGCTGCATCTCCGAGTACAGCTCCTCCTCATCCTCCTCCATGATGTCCGAAAGGTCGGAGCCCCGGCTGCTCTCAGTGTGGTGATCATCTCCGTGGCAGCAGTGTGGCTGCGGCCGAGAGAGGGATGGGCGCTACAGCCCCCGCACGGCAGAGCCGGCCCAGCCTGCAGCCGCTCGCCCCCTCTCCTCTGCTCCCATGGGAGCCAGCACCAAGAGCTGTGTGTGCACACGAGTAAGTGTGAGGGTGGGTGCTCATGTGTTTGCATGGCCATGTGTGCCTGTGTGTGCACATGTGCATGGTCACGTGTCTGTGGGTGCATGGGTGCATGTATGGTCACATGTGTGCATAACTGCATGTGTGTGCATGTGTTCATGATCATGTGTGGGTGTGTACACATTTGTGTGCATGTGTGGTCACATGTGTGCATGAGTGTGTGCATGGTCATGTGTGAATGAGTGCACATGTAGGTGGTCACATGTGTGACTATGTGTGTATGACTATGTGTGCAAGCACACATGTGACCCACTGACACGGGTCAGAGGGTCACATGTGTGCATGAGTGTGCATATGTACATAGTCATATGTGCATGAGTGCACATGTGTGCATGTAAGGTCATGTGTGCTTGAGTATGTGTGTGCATGTGTGATGGCCATGTGTGCGTGTGTGTGGTCACATGTATGCATGAGTGCATGTGTGTGTGCACAGTTGTGTATGGATGGGTGCATGTGTGTGTGTGTGCGGTCACATGTGTATCAGTGCATGTAAGTATGTACTGTGTACATGTGTATGCATATGGGGGTGTGCATGTGTATGTATGTGGGTGGGTGTGTACATGCGGGTGCAAACATATGTACATGTGCATGTGTGTAGTATGCACATATGTGAGTATGAGTGTGCACACGTACATGCACCACCCGCTGAAGGAGAGAGCAGGACCTGGACCTTCAGCTGCCCACTGGTGGACTGGGAAGCTCCCCATGCCAAACCGAGTCCCCTCTCCCCCGTGCTCTGGACTGGTCAGAAGCCACTGGACTAAGAAGATGGGAAAGGCCCCTCCCACCTCCTGGCAATGAAGCCAGAGCCAGAGTTGGCACATGGTGGCCACCAGCTCTGTCAGGCTGGAGCAGGAATAGATCAGGACAGCGAGCACTCAAGTCTCATCTCTGCCTTCTCATTTGGTGGAGTAAGTCAGCCCTGAGGGAGCAGGAGGGTCCTGTCCCCACTGGTGCTGGCACACGACTCTCCAGTCTGGTGAGGCGCCTGCAGAACCAATGGACTTTCTGGATGTTCCCTCAGTGAAGGGGAAGGTGCCTCCTGTTTCCAGCCAGCTCTTTCTTGCTTTCTTGGGTCACAGGAGGGTGTGAATGCTGACACTAGGGAAGCCAATTTGTGACAAGATAAAGGAGGACAGAGTGGACAATTCGGAAGTCACAGACAGGACAAGCCAGGCAGCTGGCTGGGCCTTCTTGGGTTCACATGGGCTTCCTTGTTGGTTGGGGTTCTGGCTCTTTGTAAGAACAAATAAAACAGAATTTTTCAGTTTTGCAGATGGAGACCAGGAGGCTGGAGGAAGCAGCCAGTGACTGTGGCAGAAGCAGGTGGGGCTGCTGCCCCTTGTCCGGGAGGTCTATGTAGGGCCTGGTCACTTTGGTTCCAGAGCCATGAACTGCTCTGACCATGCTCTTTTCCTGCTGCTGTTGTCCATGAAGGACACAACCACCCTCAGACATGGGCGGGCAGAAGCAGAAGTCTCTCTCACTCTACTCCAGGCCTGCGTGCCCTGCCCACTCAGACATGGTTGGCCAGCTAGGGCAGGCAGGGGACAGGTCATGTACAGGAATAGTGAGGCCAGGTGACCCCAGAGGCCTGTGGGTGTGAAGGTGTGACTCTACACTGGTGGGGATCCATGTCTACACCGGGTGGGAATTGTGTCTATATGTCTACACTGGGTGAGGATTTGTGTCTATACCGAGTGGAGATCCGTGTTTAAGTGGGAATTCATGATTTTATCAGGTATTGGTCCGTGTTTACAGCGAGGACATCTGTGTCCATACTCAGTGCTGACACACATCCAAGCCTGGTGTGGTTCCGTGGTGGTCCCTGCCTGCAGGGTGGCATACGGGAGCCTCGGCTGGTGCTCAACTCACCTCCAAAGGAGAAGCCGCTGGCCACCAGCCCCCAGGCCCTCCCACTCACCTGCTTGCCCAGCTCAGAGCCTTTCAGGAACTCGTCCACGCTCACAGCCCTCCGCTGGGTGCCAGGGGACTCAAAGGCATCCTCCTCATCTGAGTTGGCGTAGCGCCCAGCACCCCTGTCTAGGAACAGGCTCCGTTTCTCTAGCTTGGAAGGAGAAGGGCATCTGAGGTTGGCAGGGTCTCACCTGCTGTGGCCAGCAGCCCTGAGAGGATCTGAGTCCCCTGGCCCATGGACGGTGCCCACAGCTCCCCTGAGCCACCAGGACCCCACTGGGCATTGAGCAGATGCCCCCCTCCCCCTCCCCTCCCTGGGCGCAGCCGCCATCTGACTTGAAGAGCAGCAGAGCCCCTGCCCAGTCCTGGCCTCTGTGCTCTCAGGATGTGGAAGGGCAGCCCAGGCTGCTCTTTACTGCCAGCGAATGCCCAACCATATGCGGGCTGCTATCCAGGGAGCAGTGAGCACGCGCACGTTTGCCGCAGTCCAGCAGGGGGCAGCCCGGGCGCCCCCTACCTGCCATTCTGCCCCTCCTTGGGCTGCCTCCTTCTTCACTTGTCAGGAGCAAGTGGGTTGTGTGTCTGTCAAACATGTTTGTGTGTGTGCAGACATGCGTGAGTCTGTGGGGCTGTGCTTGTCCATGTGTGCAAGAAGAATGTAGGTGTGTGCCCACATGCGTGCACACATGCTTCTGTGTCTGTGCATCATGCAAACCACACGCGTGTCTTAAATCTCATGTCTGTGACTGAATGCATGCACCCTTATGAACACACATGCAAGTGTGTATGTGAGCACATGTGTAGCTGTGTGATCGTAGGCACACACATGAATAGAAACATAATCTGCGTCTGCACAGGAGCACACACACAAGCCTGCCCACACAGACCCTCACGAACAGCAGGGCGCAGGGCCCCAGCACTGACCAGCATAACAGTATCTGGTCTCAGCACTGTGGGAGCTAGGTTGGGTTCATGTGTGCCATCAAGTGTCCTTTCTCCCACCCAGCTGACCACAGGGACTGACCCTCTCAAGGCAGAAGAGAAGGAGCTGGCCTTACCCTGCTGCTCTCGGCTACCCTCTGTGCGGCTTCCCGGGCCATGGCCTTGGCCACGGAGGAGGACACGGGGACACCCTGCGGCTGCGGGAGGATCCGGCTGGGCGAGGGCGACCTTCTCCCGGGACCAGGCGGCTCCAGCATGTGTCCGTGTGCGGGGGCGGGGGCCCGGCTCGGCTCCCAGGCCCCGCCCACCCTGGCCTGGGGCCCTGGGTGCTCGTCTTTGGTGTTGGGGACTCCCATGGCACCTGATGACGGCTGCGGTGGGGGAGCAGCTCTCGGATGTGCGGGGGGAGGCACCAGGAGGTCGGGGGGGATGGCGGCGGGGGCCGAGTCCTCTGACTCGCCCTGTGTGGACAGCGTGCGCACGCTCACGACCTTGGCGTCCAGGCCCCGCAGCCGCAGCAGCTCCACAGCCATGCTGCCCGCCGTGGGCGCCATGAGCTCAGCCACCTGCCAGAGAGGGACACCTCAGCAGAGCCCAGCGGCTCCCACACACGGCAGGCTGGGCCGAGTAACCAAACCCACAAAACCCGAGGCAGGCAGGGACAGCTGCACGGGAAGGACCAAACAGACCCTAGGCAGTGAGCAGGGCTTCATGGGGTGCCTGGGATCTGCGGGGGAAGAGGGACAGGGCAGGGCCTCACTCACCCGCTGGCCCTTTGCGTATACACCGTAGCCGGTCACATCAGCTCCATTGGACAGGCCAGTGGCACTCAGAGCCGGCGGCCTCCAGGAAACCAGGACGCTGGTGGGGGTGGGCCCAGCTTGGACGGTGACATCTTGGGGAGGGGCAGGAGGCCCTGGCAGGGGACACAGAACAGGGTTAGGGTTAGGGGCCACCCAAGGCAGAGGCAGAATGGACACAAGGTATGGCAGATGGCAGGGGGCAGCTATGTCAGGGGACGTCCACCCTGACCCCAGATCAGTTGCTCGACCTGGAGACATTCACTTGTCCCTCCCTCACCCCCTCTTCACTAATGTGCTTGGCACACCTGTGGGCACCATGGCCCCATCCCAGGCACACACCTGTGGGCAGCACGGCCCTACCCTGGGCACACACCTGTGGGCAGCACGGCCCCACCTTGGGCACACACCTGCGGGCAGCGTGCAGAACTCCACGGCCGCCTCCTTCTTCTCTCGCTGCTCCAGGGGTAGCTGCCAGGGCACCTGGTGGGGCCGGGCCAGCACCTTCACTGTGTAGGCCGTGCTGGGCCTGAGGTTGACCAGCTGGTACTTGTACCTGGCAGCCTGCACCACCCCCAGCTCCTCCTCGTTGAGGAAGATGGCGTGGCTGTAGTTGCTATTGGTGGGCACCCAGGAGAGCTGAGCCGAGACCTGGGTGATGTTGTCCACACGCAGGTGGGAGGGCGCCACCACCACATCCTTGCCCACCAGCAGGGTGCACTGCAGCTGGTCGGAGCGCCCCCTGCTGGTCACGCACTGCACGGACACGCGGTGAGTACAGGCCGCCACACTGAGCTTCTCCACCAGGGCCTTGGTCCTGCTGCCCAGCGCCAGGCTCAGCCGCGGCTCCTGGTCCACCAGCACCATGTAGCCGCTCACGGCGCCCCAGCCCGGCGGCACGGCTGGCGGCTCCCAGCCCACAATAACACTTTTGGCGAGCTGCTTGATGAGGGTGATTTTCCGAGGGTAAGGCACGGCGTCTTCTCCGAGGTCGGCGAGGCTGGTGTCCAGCGTGCCGCTGTCAGGGAGGCTGGGCTCGAGGAGCGTGGGGGAGTGCAGATCCAGGCTGGAATGGTTGATGAAGTTCTGCTCGGGCTCGCCGGCCAGAGTGTTGGCCAGTCGAGTCTCACTGTCCTGGACAAAGTCCACAAAGTTGGAGGGCACCAGGCCCCGCTGCCCATCCAGCAGCTCACCTGCAGGCACAGGGGTGGGGTCATGGGATGGGGCCTGCACGGGCTGGACAACTGCCCAGCACCCTAAGGCTGCCTCAGGACCCTGCTGTCCGCTCCCTGCAGACCCTCCACCACTCAGCAAACTGCCTGACCCCACCTGGCCTCCATCTGCATGTTTAGGACAAGGCTCTGGGGTGAGGGACTGGTCTGCACCAACTCTCACCGAGGTGTTTCTGGAATGACACTGGCACTAAAGCTTGGGGGTGGGGGGTTGGGCAGAAGGGCACAGCCAAAGGCCACTTGTCACCCCAGGGGATGGGAGGGGAGGCCCTGTCAGAGAGTCCCCGCATGTCCACTCAGAACAAGCAAGGCGCCCCATGGCCTGGGGCTGGGCTGCCACGGGATGTGCACTGCCAGCCCCTGGGAACCGGAGCTGAGCCCGGGTAGCTTACACACGGCAGAGCATTCCCACCCAGAGATACCCACAGGGTCACGAGACCAGGAGAGCAGGAGGCCCAGTATCAGCATGGCTCCAGCTGAGGGGTCAGGGGGCCCAGCCCCCTCAGCCAGTCTAGGGAATCCCCTCAAATAAAGAGGGGTGTCTGCTCCTGGCACTATCTGGGTTCTAGAACTGGCAACGTTGCCTAGAAAGAACATGACCTATGTGGTGTGGGGGAGGAGGGGGCAGGAGAGGGAGGATGGTGAGGCATGGAGATAATGATGGGGATGACGGGAAGTGATGGGGATGAAGATAATGATGGGGACGATGGTGGAGATGATGGGGTTGATGAAGGGATGATGGGGGGGATGGTGGGGATGGAGAATGATGGAGATGAAGGGGAAGAGGGGGATGGGGATGGAGGATAAAGGAGATGAAGGGGAAGATGAGGATGGTGGGATGGTGGGAATGATGGGGATAATGGGAGATGATGGGACAATCGTGAAGATGGGGATGATGAGGGATGGGGGGATGATGGGGGAGATAATGGGGCCAGATCCCCTGATCTTCCAGAGGGAACCCCTGGTTGTGGGGGCTGCTGTGACTGTGACTGTGAACAACAGGTCCTTCTGACTACCTGAACCCACCAAGCACCCGGTCCCCAAGCCCGCTGCCCGACCTTCATAGAACCCGTCCTCATCCATGTCTCCGTAGACGTAGAGGTATTTCCCTGCTGCGAGGGGAAGTTCTGCTTCTGGGTTCTCATTGGGCCCATCAAAGGGGTTATAGCTAGAGGAGAGAAGAGCAAGTGAGCCAGCTCAGGGGACCCCATGCCAGCCTGTCCCAGACAGCCAGAACACAAAGGGAACCCTGCTGCAGCCCGCCCCGGACATGACTCAGAACACACAGGGGACCCCTCTGCATCACTGGAGGCTGCTGCCTGAACTCCGGCCTGTGTTGGCTCTCTCCAGATCTAAAGCCAGACAAGGCTGGTGGCCAACACTGACACTGGCAATCCTGTAGCAGGTGATACATGGCCAGCGTCTGCCAAATTCTGAAATCCCAAGTGGACAAAAGCACTGACTGAGCAGCACTGGAAGGACACTGCCCAGCGGTCTTGAGTAAGTACACACTCCTTTCAGCTCCAGAACTTATTACTGACTTCAGTTTAATAAATTTCCCAGGAGAGAGGAAAAAACTTTTAAAAGCTTTTCCCCACACCAGGCATCTCAGGGACAACTGGAGGGGAGGAAGGAGTGTGGATGGACAGTATGATCCCCTGCATACCCAGACACCCCAAGCATGAGAATCCCAGGGCTGAAGAGCAAGAGCCGCCGCCACAGACCACATGATGTCACACTACAGCCAGAGAGTGGGAGGAGATTCGGGACAGGGCGGACAGCCATAAGAAGGCTGAGGACAGGGTGGACAGCTGTGAGAAGCTGAGGGCAGGAAGGATATCTGTGAGAAGGCTGAGGGCAGGAAGGATGGCCGTGAGAAGGCTGAGGGCGAGGATGGCCATTAAAAGGCTCAGGATGGGGCGCAGGTGTCTGTGGGGACACCATAGCCCAAGAAGTGTGAAGGTGCTTAGTGTGGGAACTGTATAAGTCATGAAGTGGGTGGGTTCGCTGCTCGGGGCTGGGAACTGTATGGGTCATTGGAGTGGTGGTTTGCTGGTTGGGGCCAGGAATCAGGGCACCTGGCCCCCTTGATGTGACCTGTGTTGACCTGTGTCCCTAGGCCCAGGACAGAGACATGCTCTGGGTAATGGTCTTTGCAGATGGAACACTTCTCAGATGGGTGGCACAGGCACAAAGACACTGGGGAACAAGCCACCCCACACTGAATCCCAGGAAGGAGCCACTGCTCAGCCCTGGAGGGACCCCAGGACCAACACAAGACCCAAAGTTGCCAAGTGGCGCTCAAACCCCAGCCCCAGACACAGGGCGCTGCCCTACCTGTAGCGGGCAACACAGAGGCGTGCCTTCCCCGAGTATCTCTGCCTGGAGGGGCCGGAGTTCTCGTCATTGTCCATCTGCCCAAAACATAGAGTCGGGGCAGAAGCTGTGAGGCCACGTCTCATGTCTAGACACCTAGGAGCCCCAGGTCTTGACGAGTCTAGCAGGAGCCCCCTTTCCCAGCCTTAGGACTCCCAGCCACACCATGGGAGTCCAGGTTGCTCCTTAGGACACAGGCCAGGCCAGACACGGCCCCTTTGCTCTCTGCCACCCCATCACAAGAGTCTTGGGCCAGTAGAAGCGAGATCACCATGGGCAGGGGCAGCAGAAGGTGGCAGCGCACCCAGGAGAGTGTAGATATGTGAGGTGCTGCGGACCTCTCTAGTGGCGTCCCCCACTTCATGGCAGAACTGAGCACCCCACAGTCCCTGTGGCCTTTCCCAGGACTACAGCCCACCCCACACCACACACACACATGCACATGCGCACGCGCACGCACGCGCGCGCGCGCACACACACACACACACACACACACAGTGACAGAGCAGCTGCTCCCATGCTTGACCTCTGGGGCACTGGCTGGGGCTAGTTCAATGCTGGCATGTTTGTGGGCCAGGATGGCTCCACGTGACAATGAGGCCAGTGGTCACCAGCTGCTATAGTGGGTGGGACCCAGCCAAGGGCCCACACACTCACGCCTGGCTCATGGGGGACACAGTCGAGGGCCCGCACACTCACGCCTGGCTCAGGTCTGCATCGTGGGCTGTGCGGGAAGGCGGGTGTGGCAGGCAGGGGCTCCGGGCTGCCCCCAGGGACGGGCAGCAGGAGTGGCCGGGCACACTCACCGAGCACAGTGTGACTCCCCAGGATGCTTTCGGGCCCTGCCATGGGGAAAACACGAGGCAAAAACAGGTGAGCCTCCCCTTGGAACACACCACCCCTGCTGGGGTCTACACCGCGGCCGACAGCCCACCCCAGCCAAGCTACAGCGATGGGTAGTTGGAGTGGATGAGAGACAGCCAGAGGCTTGGGCGGCTGTAGGTCAGGAGGCACTTCCTTCCCTGGGATAGACACGCAGGGTAGCCCTGCAGCCACAGGAGCATGAGGAGGGGCTGGGCAGGAAGAGGCTCAGGCAGCAGGGCAGAGAGGAAGGAAGAGGCCCTGGATCGCGCTGAGCCTGAAGGTGCACCACTGCCTCTCGTCCAGACTCCTGTTGACTCACAGCCTTTTAGAGCTTGGCTGTCAATGACCCCAGTGTGGCCAAGGCTGGAACTTAGGATACACACTGACCAGAGACTCCAGGGCCAGGGAAGCCGCTGGGAGTGCTACACAGGGAAGCGGCCTGGGTGGGGATTGGACGCTGGATGGGGCCCAAGCAGCAGAGCCCCATCCCGTCCTCACTCCTGCCTCCCTGGAGCAGGCCAGGCAACTGCACAACCGCAGGTCTCCCACACGCCCCGGGGGACGGCCTAACCAAGCCCCCAGCTCTAGCCCGGGAGCAGAACAGACTCAGGCCCCAAAGGAGTCGGGTGATGCCAAAGGGCCGACCCCAGAGCAGAAGTCAGCCGAGAGGAGCAGGCAGGCCACACCTAGTCTGAGGTGGAAGGAGGAGCTGTCCTATTTCAGGGGAGGAGCCTCTGAGAGCATTCAGAGGACCAACCCCTGTGCTGGGGGAGCACCTGGAGCACCACCCCTGTTCTGGGGTCTGGGCTGTATCTGCTCTTGGCCCCACTGCTCCAGGCCATGTCCCCCCAGTCGCTAGCAGCTCACCCCCATGTCCAGAAGTGCGCCCTCGGTGCCCTGGCTTATCCACAGCATGGGAGGGAGACAGCCCAGAGGCCAGTGTGGCCAGTCACGTGACCTGCTGAGCCAGTCCTGCTGGGCAGGTGCCCACAGCAGCCCGAGTCTGGCACCAAGTCTGGTACCTGGGTAGAACTGGCTGGTGTCCACTGCAGGAAGGGCTTCTGGGGACCAGGGCAGCTGTGGGGTATCCTTCATATCTCTGTGTCCTTATCCAAGGGACACCCCCCCAACACGCATTGGTCCACCTCCATGCCCAGGCCCCTCCCCCACTCATCTCCCACCGCCACCTCCCACGCCAGCGCCTACCTGTGCCAAGGGAAGTAGCGAATCCGTTCATGAACTGAGGGAAAGGCTTGCCGGAGGCCGTGGGGCTGCTGGCCAGCAGGTCGACCCTCCCTGCCTGCTGCCGAAACTTCTCCAGGTCCCGCGACAGCAGGCTGAACTGCTCACTCTGCGCCCGGCATCGCTCCTCCAGCTCCCGCACCTTGTTCTGCAGGGCGAGCACGTGTGCCCATGAGTGTGCATGTGCGCCCATGTGTGTGCCCAGGCCTCCTGCCCCGGGGGTCTGGCACCTGGGACCGCCAGGATTCCCCGTGCCAAGGGTGTGAGCGTGGGAAAGTGTGGGGTGCCAGAGAGCAGCTTGGGGCTGGCACTCTGGGGCTGGCACACCGCCTTGGGGCTGTGGGAAGGTGGGCGTGCAGCCACAGCTTGGCCTAGGTGTGGGGCAGCTCGAACGCGCCCACACTAACACATCTTCCTGGGTCCCTGCCCTGACCTTGAGAACCAGAGCCACCCCCCGGGACTCCCATAGGGAAGAAACAGGTGGCCCTGTCTGCCAGCCCCAGCTGAGGAAGCTCGGCCACACTAGAACCAGGCCCAGGTATGGACATGCCCGCCAGAACGACCCTCAGCCTCCTGCCATTCCCAGGCTGTGCTGTCCCGGGCTGTAGGTGGTGCCATCTGGCTCAATGCTCCCCCCAGCATCCTGGGGCACTACATGAGAGGCGGCCCCTGCTCTCCCCCTGCTCTCTCCCTGCTTCCCTGCTCTCTCCCTTCTCTCGCCCAGCTCTCCCCCTGCTCTCTCCTGCTGCCTGCTCTCCCCTGCTGCCCTGTTTGCTCCCTCCCTGCTCTCCTCCTGCTCTCCCCCTGCTGCCCTGCTTTCCCCCTGCTGCCCTGCTCTCCCCCTGCTCCCCTGCTGCCCTGCTATTCCCCCTGCTCTCCCCCTGCTGATGCTCTCCCCCCTGCTCTCCTCCTGCTGCCCTGCTCTACCCCACTCTCCTACTGCTCCCCTGCTCTTCCCCTGCTCCACTGACCTACCCCCTCCTCCCCTGCTCTCTCCTTCCTCCCTTGCCCTCATCCAGTTTTCCCACTCTTCTGACCTCACCCTGCTCTCCTGTGCTCCCTTTGCTTTCTCCATGAGTTACCTCCTCCTCTCTCCCCTCACCTGCTCTCCCCTGCCCTCCCGCTCTCCCCCCTGCTCTGCACACAACATCACATGCTTAACTTCCTCCTCAGGGAAGCCCTGTGAGGGCATATGAGGAGGCTGTCTTCCACCCATGTCATGGCACTTAACTCAGCACTGTCCTTGTGCATGGGAGAAAAGGGTGCAAGGTATGACACAAAGAGTGCAGGGAGGACGAGTGACCTTCCCCGGATTGACAACTTGGCCCAGACTCCTCCCGCCCTCCCCCTCCACTGCTTTAAGCTTTTCAGCTCTCAGTCCAGAAGGCAATGCTATTTATGTCTGAGACCACAGATTTCTAAAATTAGACCTAACAGATCCCAACCCTATAGTTAATTTCTTCAATTCATAAAAGAGGGGAAAGAATCTCAGCAAGCTTCTTCCTTCAAAGGCCACGTGCCCTGTGCTCACGGGCGCCCCAGGAGGGTGTGGCGGGGATCCTGGTCCTGGCACAAGTGGGTGACCTGCACCGGGGCCTGCCTGCGCCCAGATCCTGGGCACTCAGTGCCAGCCGTTCTCCCAGGCCCAGTGGCTGTGAGCTCCTGAGGGGCCAGAGGGGAATGTTGCCCGGAGTCAAGGGCGGGCCCTGCTCCCGAGGACTCAAGTGACATATCGCACCTTGCTGGGAATATGGCGCTCTCAGGATGGCCATGTGGATGGCCCCTGTGCCATGGGGACACCAGGTCAGACTGTGGAATCTGGAATGAGTTGGCCTGGGTAGGGATTCTGTAGTCTATCCGGCCGAGGTTCCCGAAAGACTATTGGGGAAGACGTTTCTTTTTCTTTTTTCTTTTTTTTTTTTTTGCTTTTTGGGTCACACCTGGCAATGCACAGGGGTTACTCCTGGCTCTGCACTCAGGAATCACCCCTGGCGGTGCTTAGGGGACCATATGGGATGCTGGGAATCGAACCGGGGTTGGCCGCGTGCAAGGCAAACGCCCTACCCACTGTGCTATTGCTCCAGTCCCTGGGGGAGATGTTTCTGAGCTGTATCTTCACAACCAAAGCCCCAGTGACCCTTCCGAAGCCATAGCTGGCCCGTGGGGCCAGGTGGTAGGGGGTCTCTAGCCCTGCCTGGGATAGCTGACCCCTCTGGGAAGTGGGGTGCTTCCCAGAGCAGAAACAATAGCCTGATGGTGCAGCAAGCACCTGACAAGCACAGCACACTCGGGCACCCGCACCACTGAGCCCGGTGAACAGGAAGAGCCTCTCTTCTCAGCGGGGACACGGTGACTCGCCACCCCAAGAATCCCAGGAACATCCCCAGAGAACTGGACCTGCTCACCACATGTCCTCACCTGTGGCACACCGTTGGCCCATCCACAGTGACGGAGAGTGTGTCAGCCTCAGTTCCGGCTTCACTGTGCCATGAGGACCAGTAGGGCCTCTGAGGACAAGCTTCCCAGGACCTCCACATGTGCTGGCATGTAAGCCCAAGGGTCCCAGGGAGGAGATGCTGTGCCCCACACAAGCCTGTGCCAGGAGCACTCAGTCTGCACTCAGTGACCCTGAGGCCTGCGGCTGTGCCTCAGTTTCCCCATCATCATGAAGACAAAGATGACAGTTTTCTCACTCCATCAGAGCCACTGCTGACACCTACGTGGTCCTGACGGGGTTCTCACACCCTCACGGGCCCTCACAGCCTCAGAGACCCTGTCACCCTCATGGGCACTCTCACCCTCACAGGCCCTCAGGATCTTAGATCCTCAGGGCCCTCACAGGCCCTCATAGCCTCAGAGACCCTCTTACCCTCAGGTCCTGACACCTTCACAGGTTCTTGCAGTCTTATACTCTTACAGGCCCTCACATCTTCCACAGCCTTATGCCCTCATTCCCTCAGATCCTTACATCCTCATAGCCCCTCATCACGCCCTCACAGCCTTACACCCTCAAAGGGCCCTCACACTCTCACAGGCCCTCAGGCTCTGCGGCCCTCAGAGACCTCACACAAACATGCCCTCAGAGACCACAAACAAACCCTCACTCTCTCACGGATCCTCACACCCTCATGAGCCTTAACACCCTTACACCCTCAGTCTTACACTCTCAAAGGGTCCTCATAGACCCTTACACCCTCACAGACCCTCAGGCCTTAGAACCCCAGGACCTCACAGTTTCTCATACTTTCCTGGCCCTCACATCCTCATGGGTCCTCACGCCTCAAGGCCCTCACATCCCGTGGCTCCTCACACCCTCACAGGCCCTCATGCTCTCACATATCCTCACACTCTAACATGCCTTCAATATCCTCACTGGCCCTCACATCCTCACAGGCTATAACACCCTCACAGGCCCTAACACCCTCACAAACCCTCATCCCCTCAGGGGTCCACACACACTCACAGGGTCTTCATATCCTCAGAGGCCCTCATAGCTTCATGGGTTCTCACGGGTTGTCACACCCCACCAGGTCCTCACAGCCGCCCCATCACTAGATAAGCCCTCAGGTGGGAATCTTGCTAGGAGAACCCAGAGTGATCACACCAGGCTCTTCCTTCTGGAAAAGCTCCTCCTGTTCTAGAATGTTCCTGATGCCTCTCTCCAGGTCACTGCAGTCCTGCTTCTGTCTCCACATGTAGCCATACCTTCCCATTGCTTCCCCAACATCTGGCACTCATTCATCAGAAAATGGGACTCAGGCAGTGCATACGGCTATGTCTGTTGATGGGGCCTTGTGGTGCTCTCTGCTCCCACCATGAGACCCCCTGCCCAGGGGCTCGCTGTCAGTAAAAGGCCCTGTGGGTCACATATCACACTCCAGGAACTACTGACCCTTGTGAGAAAAGCTGAGGGTGGTTGTTCTGGGCAGGCATCTGCTCTGCGGCCTTTGCTTGTAGGGAAAGTTAGGGGGGACACCACAGACCAATTTCCCAGGAGGCTGATTCTGAGGGTCTACACCTCAGGAGTGGCCTTCTTCCAGAACCTTCTCAACACCTCCACGTCAGTCACCCACTTCCTAAGCATCCTGGCCCTGAGTTTCCACCCACAGGTTCCAGGCAGGCCACAAGACTTTCTAGTCTGTGGGCCCTGGGAGCTCTGTGCGTCTGGCCGTGGGTAAAGTCATCGACAAAAGCTCAGAACCCATGTCTGAGGTATCACTGAGCCTCGCCTTTCCCCGGCGGGCAAGGAGCTTCTGGTCAGAGTAGGGGCCACCCCCAAACACACAAGGGGAAGAGTTGGTCCAGGTGCAAGGCAACGTGTGAATTCAAGGGGCCCAGGGTCTGAATGCTGACACTCAGCTGGGATTCCTTGGGTGGCTGCACAGCCCCCCCGCCCCCTCCCCCGCACACACACACAGCCCTCCCACCCCCGCTATGGGAATTCTCATGCAGCCTGGCAGGAAGTGGGCAGCCAGAGCCCAGCCCACTGATGCCCCATTCCCAGCAGGCCTCAGGACATGCTGGGCCAGACCCCTACCTCAGCCCCCCTCCCACTGTGAGGGGTGGCCTGGGCTCTGGCTGCTGGGCACACAGGGGAGGCCCGGATACCTGTAGGCTGTCCAAGGTGCGCTGGCGGCCGAGCAAAGCAAGACACAATCAGAAGGGAGGGTTGGGGGCCGCCTCCTCTGCCTCCAGCTGCTCCATTTCAACAAGACAAAATGCAGGGGACTGTCCCAGCATGGAGAGGCACGTGTGGTCACCCGCCTGGAGACAAGGCCTCAGTGGGCCCTGGGGGCAGCCTCTCCAAAGCGAATCAGAACAGCGTGGGCAGCACAGAGGCGACTAGGGCAGATGCTGGTGCAGGGACGTGCTGCTCCCCGGGGCCCTGACCCAGGGCGCAGGCCAGCAGCAGGAGCGCTGACCCGCCCACCCCTCTCGGCTCCCTGTACCTCTTCATGGCCTGTAGAAGGGGGGTCCGAGCCACCTCCAACACTACCCTGCCCTCTAGCTGTCTCCCCCTATGAGCCCACAGGATCCCACTCACCTCTAGCAGCTGCACGGCACCTTCATGCTCTTTCTTAGCTTCAACCTGAGCCTGGTTGGAGAAAAGAAGAATGTAAGGGAGGTGGGGGTCACTCCAACAGGGTCCCAGATGCTGGAGACCTGAGTCTCCCTCATCCTCAGGGCCCTCTGTGGCGCCCAGGAATCCAAAGGCTCTGTGTGTCTGGCCAGCCCGAGTCCCTGAGTATGAGTCCGGCACACCCCATGTAGGGAATTTCCCAAGGGTGCTGTTGGAACTCGGCATCCGCATAGGCCAGCACAGAGGAAAGCACAAGAGTCAGAGACCCCACATCAGAGCCGCCTCAGGGTCCAGAGAAATCCTCCCCCGGCCCCCCTTCCCATGTCTCCAGCAGATAAGAGGCCCCAGGAGCACAGCCCTCAGTGTCAGAAGAGAAAGGACAGCTTTTCCATTGCAGAGTGCGAGGGTGGCCCGGGGGCCGTGTGCCGTCTAAAGAGGGTCTAGAACCCTGACCCAGAACCAGCCTCAAGAGGAATCCAGAGTCCCAGCCAATCTCCAGGGAGCTAAGGCACTGTGCGAGAAGCGGCTGCGCTCTTTCCCTCCCTGTCAGCCCCGAGTGGCACCTCCCCGCTTCTCGCTTCTCCCCTTGCCAGCACAGACTAAAAATGGAGCGAGCCTGAGCTCTCCAGCGAGTTCATTCATATGCTTTTTTTTCTCGCACACTTCCAGCACCGTTCTGAAGCACTGGAGATGTGAATAGAACACAGCAAATTAATTACCCCATTCTCAAATTCCGCTGCAGAATCTCCACAGACTTCAAATTGTTCTTTTCAAAGTAAAAACAAGAGCACTAACAGACAGCAACAGCGGGCTGGGTGGGGGCAGGCAAGCGGGCAGAGAGCGCACAGGCGCGTACGAATGACACCACCCGCCTGGTGAGTCAAAGAGGGTTTTCAAGTGGCAGGACGGGAAGCAGCAGGCGAGAACCCAGCCAGGCTGGCAGCGACAGCCCCGTTCAGCTTCAAGTGAGAACCAGGATTTCAGCGTTGTGTTCCAGGAGGGCCCCTTGCGAGGAAGGCCATTTGGACAATGGGAACAGGCGGCTGAGTCAGCAGTCAAAAGTGGCCACTCTTGGCACTTGCAGAAGGCAGCAGGGGCTTTAGCAGGGCTTCTGAGGGAGTCTCCAGCCACTCCTATCGTTCACATGGACAGGTTCCCTGACATGGTGAAGTCCTTGGGTGGGGCGGAGTGGGGTGTGCGGTATTTACCTATCTCTTCTTGGACACTTCAGTTGTTCCAGAGTTTGGCTCCTGTGAAGTGTTACAATCAACGAATAGAGGAGCATAGATATCTTGGAATAGTTTTTGGGACTTTGTGATAGATGTCAACAAGTGGAACTGCTGGGTCATAAGGAAGCTCAATTCTTAGTTTTCTGAGACGTGTCTGTGCTGGTTTCAAAGAGGTTGAGCCAGTCAACATTCCTGGCAGCCACGATGTGGCTCCTATTTCCCCATATCCCTGCCAATACTGGTTGTTTTGTTCTTTCTATGGGGAAGAGGGAATCACAGGCTGTGGTGCTGCTCAGGGACTATTCCTGGCTCTGTGCTCAGGTGTGACCACCTAGTGGTACTCAAGGCACCGCATGAGATGCCATGGGTCGAACCCAGGTCTCCTTGGCTGCCACGGCTGCACACAAGGTAAGTGCCTCCCTCCTATAAGTCTCTCTGGGATGTAGATGGCCTCACTGCTTGCTGTGAGGTGATCTCTTATTAATGTTTTGCATTTCCCCGATGACAAATGAGGTAAAGAATTTTCTCAAATACCTCTTGGCTGCCTGGACATCCTCTTTAAGAAAGTTTCTATGCATCTCTTCTTGCTTTGTGTCTGTCTGTCTTGGGACCACACCCGGAGATGCACAGGGTCTACTCCTGTCTCTGTGCTTGGGAATCACTCAGGTTGAGGCTCAAGGGACCATATGAGGTCCCTGGATCAATTGCCAGTTGGCTGTGTGCAAGTGCCTTAGCACTTTTCTCTCTCTCTCCAGTACCTTGGATGTGCTATCGATAGCACAGCGGGTAGGGCGTCTGCCTTGCACGCAGCCAACATGGCCGACCCGAGTTCGATTCCTCCGCCCCTCTCGGAGAGCCCGGCAAGCTACCGAGAGTATTCGATATGCCAGACACAGTAACAACAAAGTCTCCAATGGAGACGTTACTGGGCCCGCTCGAGATCTGGTATCTTTAATCCGGGCTGGAGCGATAGCATAGCGGTAGGGTGTTTGCCCTGCACGCGGCCAACATGGCCGACCCGAGTTCTATTCTTCTGCCCCTCTTGGAGAGCCCGGCAAGCTACCGAGAGTATCTCACCCGCACGGCAGAGCCTGGCAAGCTCCCCGTGATGTATTCGATATGCCAAACACAGTAACAATAAAGTCTCCAATGGAGATGTTACTGGGCCTGCTCGAGCAAATCTTTAATCCATTTTAATTGGCTTTTGTGCATGTGTGAGAAAGGGATCTGAATTCATTTTATTACATGTGACTGACCAGTTTTCCATTTGAAGAAGCTTTCCTTCCTCCACACTTCACACTCTGCTCCTTCATCAGAGATGAGCTGCCCATGTGCTGAGACAGATCTGTGTGTGGGCTCATGGACCTGCTGGCATGAGTCTGTCTTTAGCCCGGGACTTCACCGTCTGGACAGCTACGCCCATGCAGGGGGCTTGGAGCTGGGGAGAAACCTCCCATCTTTTTTCCTAGGATGGCTTTGGCTATTCTGAGGGTTTTATTTCTTCACATAAATTTCAGTAGCATTTTGCCTATGTCTCTAAAAAATGTCATGGGTGTTTTTATAGGGACTCCACTCAATATATATAGTGCCTCGTGTAGCACTGACATTTTGACAGTATTAATCCTTCTAATCCATGAATAAGGGATGTGTTTTTATTTCCTTGTGTCTTCTTTTATTTCCTTTAGTAACGCTTTACAGTTTGCTTTATATAAATCACTTACCTCTTTGGTTAAGCTGACTCTCAGGTACTTTTGAATGGGACTGTTTTATTTCTCTCTTTTCTATTTCATAATTTCTGAGATGTACTTTGTAGCCTACCCTGCACTGTATAAGTTCGTTGTTTCTAGGAACTTTGAGAATTTTATGACTTATCGATGTACATGGCAGCTTTCTCAAACCTCCAAATAGGTTCCCTAAGTATTTAGTTTTTTTTTTGCTTTTTGGTTCACACCCAGCGACACACAGGGGTTACTCCTGGCTCTGCACTCAGGAATCACTCCTGACGATGCTCAGGGGACCATATGGGATGTTGGGAATCGAACCCGGGTCAGCCACATGCAAGGCAAACACCCTACCCGCTGTGCTATTGCTCCAGCCCCAAGTATGCCATTTTAAAGGTGAAAAAAAACATTTCTTTAGAAACCAAATTCCAATCAGGAGAGTTCTGTAGTCTACAGGGCCTCTTAGCATCAGGCCATCTGACTTCCTCTTTTCTAATCTGGACACCTTACTAGTCTTTTTCTGATCTATGGCTCTCGAAAGGACTTCTGGTACTGTACTAACCTAACACTGGTGAGCACCAGCTGCCTTGTCTTGTGGTCCTATGCCTGTCTTCAAGGGAATGGTTTCAGTTTTTCACTGTTGAGTATGATGTTAGCTGTAGGTGCGTGGTAAGTGCATTTTACTACACTAAGCAAAGTTCCTTTTTTTCTTTTTTTTTTTTTTTACAAGTTCCTTCTATGCCCATTTTACCTGGAGTTTTGGGTTTTTTTATTGCATTACAGTGAGACAGACCATTACAAAGCTGAAACATGATTGGATTTCAGTCATACAATGTTTCAACACCCACCCTCCACCAATGTAATTTCCCAGCACCAGTTTCCAGAGTTTCCCTCCCTGTTTTTGGATGTTTTTTTCTTTTTTATCATGAATGGGTATTGGCTCTTGTCAAATACTTTCTCCTCCTCTACTGACATGACGGCATGATTTTTATTTTTCCGTGTGCTGATACAGAGCATTAGGTTGATCAACTAGCATACCTTGAGCCATTAGGTGCTTATTTTCCTTTGCATTGATGTTCTGCCTTATGCTAACAGATTTATATATACTTGTGTACACATCTTGCATCCCTCAGATAAATCCTGCTTGGTCATGGGGTATGACCTTTTAGTTGGATTTCTGCGTTCAGTTGGCTGATATTTTGTTGAAGATCTCTGCACCTGTGTTCATCCAATATATAGGTCTACAGTTTTCTTCTTGGCCTGTTTTGGATTTTTTGGGGGGGATGGGGGGCGGCATACCTGATGGTGCTTAGGAGTTATTCCTGGCTCTGCACCCTGGCAGTACTCTGGGGACCATATGGCATGGGATCAAACCAAGGTGGCCGACATGCAAGGCATGCACCTTATTCACTGAACTATATCTCCAGTCCTGGCCTTTTCGTTTATTTTTGAGCCACACCTGGCGATGCTCAGGGGTTACTCCTGGATGGGCACACAGGGATCACTCATAGTGGTACTTGGGAGGCCATCTGGGGTCCGGGAACCAAACCTGGGTCAGCCGTGCAGAAGGCAAGTGCCCTCCCCTCTGTCCAAGGGCCAGCCCTGGTCTTCTATTTTTTTGAAGTGGCCCCACCAAAAGACAGCAACAGGCTCTTCTCTAACCCCACTCCCCTGAGAATAGCCGTGGGCGGCTTCATCATTCTCCACTGAGCAAAGGTCCCACCTAAATCCATTTCCTTTGCTCTGGTTGGCTGGCTGCTGGTCATCAGCAGATAGCTGGGCATTGGTTTGTGAGTGACCATCAGCCAAGGGAACAAATGAAGGCATGAATGAATGAAGCAACCAGCAAGTTCAGCATTCCGGCATCTACAAGAAATGACCTAGAAATGGGGGTGCTGAAGAACACCTATCTCATGGAATCTGCAGTCTCCTGTTGGAGCCAGAGCTGAGGACTGCCTGATTGGGCGGTGTGTGCTGCCCCTCCTCCATCTGCCTCCCTCACAAGGTGCCAGCATCCACGGTGGAGCCAGCAGGCCACAGGGGCTGTGGGGAGGATGATAGGCTGGGCTGGTCCTGGTGTGGCTCCGCAGATGCAACCCCATATTCCCCACATTTCCCCGGTGGAAAGTTCCATTGCCCTCTGCCTGCTCTATCTCTGCAGCCTTCTGGGTGTCCGGGGAGGACCAGTCTGAGGAGAGCTCCTGGTGACAGGCCAACGGCGGGTGGAGGGCAGGCCCAAGCCACAGACCAGGGGGGAGAGTAGCTGCCAAGTATCCCAGCAATATCCGCTCTGCCACGTTGGATCAAACACACCTCTCAGCACGACGATCCAGGAGGACATGTGCTCAGGGCTGGCTCGGTGAGATCTGAGATCTGTTCATGACCCCGCCTGATAAGAGGCTATGACAGTGCCCAGCCTGTCTGGATGAGAAGGGTTCTCTGCTCCCAGGGGCAGCTGTCTCTCTGCAGGCAGAGTAGACCCACTGCTGCCCCTGCCCCGCCAGTCTGGGCTGGACTATGAGCTGAAGCAGGGGGTCTGGCTCTGGAAGGGTCAGTGGAGGCTGGAGGAAGGGGGGAAGGGGCAGCTCTCTATATGCCAGGAGATGAGGGTGCACCCTGCATGCCCTCTGGGCTTCCAGACCCTTCTCTCCCTCTCTCTTCATGGGCCCAGACTCTGGGCCTTTGTTACTAGATCAGGTTCCGGCTCCACCCAGGACAACCCCTCCCTCCCAGCGCCCCCATAAGTAACAAGCTGCCCAAGCCCCATGCTGCTGCTTAGTGGGTAGATGCACGACCACCACATGGCACCCTCGCAAAGCCTCTCCCACAGCCAGCCCCAGCTCACCTTCTGCAGAAGGTCGATCTCCTGCTGCTTCGCGTTGAGGACAGCCAGGGCTTGTTCATGCTCCAACTCCAGTTGCTGCCGCCGCCCAGCAGCCTCACGCATGTGCTGTGGGGACGGTCAGGCCAGGCTCGAGCAGGAACCTGCCCCCTACCATCCCACCATGCTGTGCCCGCTGACCACAGCCCAGGGACTCCCAGGCAGCAGCTCTTAGCCCCAGCGGGGGCCCATCTGCTGGCTACAGAGCAGGCCCAGGAAGAGGGCAGAGAGCAGTGGCATGTCCCCTCTTCCCCAAGGCTCAGGGCTTCTTGGCACATCCACACTCTATGTAGTGAGCCACATGAGGATCAGTGCCCGGGCCCAGGGGAGTTGAGGTCTTCCTCACCAGGCCACGGGGAAAAGGGGGTCCTCGGGTGATGGCCACCCCAATACCCTCCCTCAGTCCCTCAGCATAGCACAGGGACACCTCTGTGCTCCCTCCTGGAGCAAAATGGGGAGCACAGCCTCTGCACGGCCTCCGAGATGGGTCCACCCAGGGGCTCCAGCCAGGCTTTCACCTGCTCACTACTCCCTCTGCCCGACCAAAGTGGCCATCAGGGAGCCCGTGTCCAAGGAGTGCTCGAGAGGGAATAGCCCAGGCGGCCACTAAGGTGCTGCCCTGGGACATCTGGAAGGTGATACACATGCATACATGCATACACACATGTGCGCGCGCACACACACACACACACACACGTGCACATACACACTCATTCACATGCGCACTCGCCCAGGGCTGGTCCTCAGGAGTTTGGACAGGATTTCAGCCAGGTGGTTGAAATGGCCCCTGGCCCTGCCCTACATGGCAGCTTCCGCCCAATCTCTTCAGAGCCCAGGAGGGCACAGAGCAACACTGGGTTGGGGTTCCCTGCTGGGCCACCCCCTCCCAAGCCAACAAACACCAACACTGGGACAAGGGAGGAGACAAGGAATTCACACAGCCCGGCTAGGGGCTCCACAACAGGACGGCCAGCCCCTAGATACATGGAGCTCCCCACGCCCTCCCGCAGCCCTGGTCTCCGCCTGAGTTCACGGACAGGGAAGCAGTCCGACCTGAGCCTGAGAGACCCCCAGCCCGAGCAAGTGCCCAGAGGATGCCCAGCCCTCGCCCTCACTCTCGCCCCAGCCCAGCCAGAGCAGGCGCCCAGAGGGATGCCCAGCGCTCGCCCTCACCCCAGCCCAGTCCAGGCAGGTGCCCTCCCTACCTTGAGGACCTGCTCGAGGTTCTCCAGTGTGGCTTGGACGAGTCTCTCCTCGGCACTACGGGGTGTGTGGGGAAAGGCCAGGCATGGTCCACTCTCACCTATGGCGGAAGGACCGCAAGGCCTGCTCACACACCGGCCCTGAGCTCTGTCTGCTCACTTTCTCTGCAGCATCCCAGGCCCAGGCGCCCCTCCCACCAGCCCTGCAACCACTGTGGTCGGTCCAGAGTGAGGAGCATGACCCAATCTGGAGGTGGTGATGGCCAGGGAGGAGCCGCACCACAGGGCCCCCTGAAAAGGGGTTACTGGGCCTCCAGGGGGCTGAGACACTAGCTGGGAAGCAGGGCATGGAAGGTGACCCCATGAGGGAGAAGTCAGTCTGAGCAAGAAAGAATGTCTAGGCAAGACCACCTCCTGGGGCTGGCAGCTGAGCATCTAGATCACACTCTGCCTGAAGGTGGATTTTCCTTCCAGTTATTGTACCAAAAAAAAAAATTCCTTTTGTTTATCCCGATTTAAGTGAGCTTCTGTCCCCCTTGAAATGAACATTCTGATCAACACAAAGGAACTGATGTAAATATACCACCAGACTCATCTATAACTCTCGCTTTACTTACAGGGGACTGTCTGGCAGGGAGTGCTCTGCAGCCCGGAAAGTGAACAGGACCATGGACAGACAGCAAACAGGTCTTGCTGAGTCTGTTACTTGAAAGCAGTGAGAAGTATACTTGGTCTTGCATTCCCCTCCCCAGCTCTCTTATTCACCACTGTGTTCTTGTGGTCTCATTGTGGAAGGGCTACTGGCCCATCCACAGAGAAGAGCCATGGCCAGGACTGTTCCATGGAGACATCTGTGGTCCACATTCTCGAGAATGAGTTTTCTTAGTTGGGGAGGTGAGACAGGGCAGTGTCCCCGCACTGAGAACTGCATTAGTAAACTTTAACTCAAATTCTCTTCTTCCCAGTAACATGAAATCAGCAAACTAATAGTCCCCAAGGCAACTGCACAGCTGTGTCAGGGCAAGAGCTGTCCCTACAGCCCACTGGGCAGCCCTGCACTTGGAATCCTGGCTGGAAGGAACACAGGGACTCTGGCATGCCACTAAGAGAAAGCACAGTCAGAGCGAGTGGCTGCAGAGCTACCATTGCCCGGCAGACAGCAGGAGCCAGCAGGCTGCGAGGCTGCGTCTCCATGGCAGGCAGCCCGCTGAGGCCGCCCAGTTAATCTGGAAATGAGCACAGATGAAGGCTCCCGTTGCTCCTTTGTCTGCCCAGGGGAAAACTGCAGCGAGGAGGCCGAGCCCTGTCCAGGGTGCTGCTCCACGAGGCTGGGCCAGGCCTGAGGGTTCCAGATCCCAGGAAGGAGAGCGAGGAAAGCAAAGAGCCACCAGATCTGACAGGCCCCAAAAGGCACACGCACTCGGCCTCGCCCTGCACCCACTGGGCCCAGTGTGGTGCTGACCGCCACCTTCATTTTCTGCTAACAGCTGTGACTGCCTCTACAACAGGTCCTAGCCGGGTCCCCACCCTTACAGACAGGTGTGAGAGCCAAGTTAGATCCCGATCAGGCCAGAGTTGTAGAGGGGGGGCTCAGAAATCTGGCGCAGCCTCTGCCTCCCCGCACCCTGCCCGCAGCAATGAGGAAAATAACACAGTGTCATTGTCGTTCATTCTCCTGAGAGGGACGGGAGCTGGGGGGAGCACCTGGGTCTGGAGTGTGACTGAAAGGGAGATTCCACTTTGCCTGTTTTTTGCCTTGCTCCAGCCCTGGCCCCCAAGGCACTGTTTCCTTCCTGTGCTCCCCCATCCTATTGGCCGGCCCCTAGTCTTGTCCTGGGGCCCCCATTTATGTGGCTTACACCTGTGTCCCACTCCAGACTATTCTGGGGACCAAGGAGGTACATAACGACTGCCCTCACAGCACAAAGTAGGTAGGAGATGTGGCTCAAAGGGCTACTTGTGAACCTCAGGAGCAAGGCCTGACCTGTCAATGTCCCCAAAGCACCACCAGGGCCCCAAAAAACACAACAGGAGAAGCAGCTGGAGAACTCGACTTTTCACTTGACTCCTGTCCCAAATATTTATGTGCTGTTCTGAACATCCTGTGAGGGTGAATTTACTCAGGCAGCACCATGGAGAAGCTGGGGTCAGCTAGAGGCGGGCTGGCCTGGGCAGGGCAGGTGGGCCTCTGGCTCAGTGGGCATTCACTGCCCTGACAGCTGACATCCGCTTAAGGGAAGCACTTCATGGAGGCACAGGCCCCACGGGAGGCTGAGCCTGATCCCATCCTGCTCCTGTGGAGGCAGCGCCAGGAATGGCTACAGCTGGGCCACACCTCTGCACACTGGCAGGGCCACTGCCGGTGTACCACACATAAAAGGGGCCCACCGCGGCAGCTCTGAGCCCACTTCACTCATTTCACTGCACCGGTCAGAGGCACTATTTTCCTGCAGAAAAATGCCTAGTGTGTGACTCGCCCACTTCTGGGGCAGTCTCCGAGTCCCAGCCTGAGGGGGCGCAGGCCCGCGCTGCAGGGAGTCTGCCCCCACTGCTTCTGTGACTCTGACCTTGGTAGGTTTTCTCTCCCCCTCCTCATTCCGTCTTCCCCTGCTCCCCCCTCTCTCCCTCTTCCCTCCCCCCTCTCTCCAGACTCACAGCACCTTCTGCAGAACCTCCCACCAGCCCGAGGAGGAGGCGTTGTAGACCTTGGAAATCGTGCTCGTGTCTGGCAAAGCTGAGTGATCATCCGGCTCCCTTCTGGGCAACAGTCAGGAAAGGCGAGCGCAGCCCAGCCCACAGACACGCAGAGCAGGCGGGAGCGGGTGGGGGTTACCACAGCAACTGCCTGGCTGGCAGGTCCTCGTGTCCTGTTCTCCGCCAAGAGGGGGAGCAGGAGCAGCCCTGGGCCCCAGGGCTCAGAGCCGCTTCAGACCATGTTCCCCAGAAGGGCTGATGGTGGGGCTCTTTGCATCTGTGCTGCGGGCCCAGTCCACAAGAGGGGGAACCCGCAGTCCTGCTGAGGTGGCTCCAGAAGCCCCAGGGCTGTGTCCTGCACAGCAACCTGCTGTCCCCGCAGGCCTCTCAGCTCCAACGCAGCGGCTAGGTGGAGCACGAGAAAGTGGGATTGACCCCTACATGACATACAGGCGAGATGGTGCAGACAGCGCAGCCTTCCAGATCAGAGCTCCTGGGGAAGAGCTGGGTTCTTCTGCATCACTAATTGGGCCACCAGGGAGTGGGCGGTCGGCACCCCACCTCACTGGGATGCGTGATGGAGATGAAGCTGGTCACTGGGAGGAAATCGGGAGCCCATGTGTGGGGCGCCAACAGCCTGTGAAGGGTAAACAAACCTGGCCCCCTCAGCTGGACTTTACTGGACATCCACCACTCGGTTGGACCCCGCAACCCCACAAGCCAGACTGGGCCCACACGATCTCCCAGGCGCCCTGCAGAACCCTCTCCTCCATCCTCGGCAGCGTCTCAGCTGCCCACAGTCCTGCCAAGGCCATGGGATCACACATCTGGCCTCATTTCCAGGCCCACAGGCTCTCCCTACACAGGCTCTCTGGTCGCCCCTCACCTGTCCGCCTTTGCTCCGATTTCATCTTCCATGAGTCACCTGGATCCCCTTTGAAAGTGCTCTACTTCCTGCTCACCATCCCTCTATCCCCAAACACCAAGACCTCCCCAGCGCAAGTCCACAGAGACCTGCAGGGGTGCTCTGTGGCCCAGGTGAGTTGTGCGTGTCGCCAGCTCTCAGCGCAGTCTGGTGAACTTGCTACGGCTCCGGGAGCTGCCACGCAACCCTGAGGGGGCTCCTTGGTCACTATCCTTTGTCAGCTGCAGGGCCCAAATGACCCCAGATCAGAGGCTATGTGTGGGAGGAGCTGCAGCGGGTCAGGCGCCGGTGTTGGGGTGCAGCCGCTCACGGCAGGGCCTGTGCGAGGGACAACAGTCCTCAGAGACCTCTGAGGCCTCAGGGTCCACAGAGGGACAGAGCTCGCTCGGCAACTCCCTGCAAGGCCATGCCTCCCGGACAGGCAGAGGTCCGCCACCCCATCTGTTGGCGGGGCCCCCCAACAGATCCAGAGCCTCCTGGGGTGTGCAGGGACAGCTTCTCCACTTCAGCACCCCCAGCTGAGGCCAAGTGGGACGCACCTGCCAGCACCCCGCATGCGCGCGGTTTCTCGGCTTTGTCCCCGCAGCCACACCTGCCCTGTGTTCAGCCTGGCTAGGTCCTTCTGCCCAAGGGCTCTGCTGAAGGGCGCTCACCAGCCTGCACCCAGCTCTCTTCTTCACAAGGAGGCCCACACTGCCAGCACCCCGCACATACATACATAGTGCCCTCCACCTCCCAGGAGGGGGGTGGGGGCCTGTGTTGCTCACACCCTTCTTGATCCTGGAGGAAAACCCAGAAACCCAGAGCTCCCAGAGGGGAGGGAGGAGCAGAAAAAGGAGAAGATTCTGTTATCTCTCTTCCTCTATCTCTCCTCTCTCTCGCTCTCTCTCTCTCTCGCTCTCTCTCTCTCTCTCTCACTCTCTCATTGTGAATGTCCAGTTAAACTGACATTCCCAGGGGCTGGAGAGATAGTGCAGCGGGTAGGGCGTTTGCCTTGCACGCAGCTGACCCAGGTTCGATTCCCACATCCCATATGGTCCCCTGAGCACCGCCAGGAGTAACTCCTGAGTGCAGAGCCAGGAGTCCCCTGTGCATCGCCGGATATGACCCAAAAAGCAAAAAATAATAAATAAATAAATAAATAAATAAATAAAATAAACTGACATTACCAACAGAAATCCATCCCTTCCAGCCCCAGAGGAAGGGTCAGGATGGGTGCCTGCCTGGGGGCCCCTCCACACTTCCTCACTCCAGTGCTCCACCCTGGTCCCCACAACCCAGTTATTCTCTCCCCATCCTCAAGGGTCCCGGATCACAGCACCAGGTCTGGCCCATCTAACAGAAACCCTTCCTGAGCCCTACTCCAATCCCTTTCCAATGCTCAAAACCCACCTCCTCCAGGAAGCCTTCCTTCCCTGCTTCTAGCTGCTGGTCCTCCTCAGGTTTAACTCCCTCAAGTGCCCACCTCAGGCTAGAGGCCTC